CCACCCCCTCGCACCCCCTCTCTCCCACCCACACACCCCCACCCACCCCCACACTCACACACACACACACACACGATGAAATCCTGCATGACCCTTACATTTCTTTTAGCATTTTTTTTTCACGTTGTTCCCTCTATCACCTACATAGAGTACAGTAGCCTAATTGTTATATCATTGGAGTAACAAACCAGAGATAATGAGTTCAAAGTCCACTCTGTCATGTTGACAAAATTTTGTAAATCTCTTCATTTGTTTGCCTGTGCCAAAAGAAATTTGGAATCTGTCAGAATGCAGTAGAAATTAAACAGGCTGTGTAATGTTCTTTGGTGCACATGAGTAATGCCACCAGTCGGTTACACCACAATGGTCATGCTTCTATGAACAGATGAGGTGATGTAGTGATGTAATGTTAATTTCTGATTTAAAGTAGGGAAAATTAGCTGAATACTTACCAAATTATCTCTAGGAGACAGTGTTCAAAGTGCAAGCACTTTGAATAAAAATAGCTGCCAGTCCAATTTGCTGCATCTTAACACTTTGCTGTTCTCCCCTTCCACAGAAAAAGTGAGCTGAGATTGCTATGGATGCAGTAACCTTTAAGGTTGCGTATGATTTCTCCAAACTTAATATCAAGGTTATAAATAATTAGCTGTGTTCATAAGGTATTAGTTTGAAGGGAATATTTTTGTAGAATTAAAATGTTTTCCAATGCAGGAGGAATTTGTCACAAAAATGGCCTTGTGCTCCAGAATTCATGGAGCCTTGACTGAAGTTTAATGAAATCTCTGCCTTTTATACATATTATATTTTTCCCCTCCTTCAGCAACTGTGTCCAGCAGCTACAATACAGGAGGCCCAGCAGTGGTTGCACAAGAATAGATTCTCGACATATGCGAGGTTATTCTCAAATTTCTCAGGTACAGATTGTTCCTCTTTACAGTTCACTAAATAAGGTTTGCCAATAAGAATGATACCAGGTGGTGGAGCTAATCTATTAAGTAGGATTTTACAACAATTTTAACAAGATAAGGATACAGTGTTGATTTCTCATTCTCAATGATGGTGCTTTGAAAATGCTAAATAGATTTTTTTTTCAGGAGGAGTATTTTGAATGTAAATAACCTGCATTTTGGCTGTTATAAGGAACAGTTCACCTGTTGTCATTGTAGTACTAAGGGGTGGGAGGGCATTCTGTGAGAAATCATGAGTGCCAATTCTGTTATCACTACTAAATATAATTTAATCGGAGATTCCTGGATATTATTGATGTTCTAGTCAAATCATTGAAATGTTGTGATTACCTTGTGCTAGCTCTGGGTTTTTTTTAAACATGTTCTTCTGTCAGTTAAGAATGGTCCATTTGGTTCCAATGAAGTCTCATTACTTGATGCTTTCTCAGGTTCTGATTTACTGAAGTTGACACGAGATGATCTTGTCCAGATCTGTGGCTCAGCTGATGGGATTAGATTGTTCAATGCGCTCAAAGCAAGGTAATGTTTCAGAAATCAATTTAAAATGGCTCACTCAACCTTTGATTACATCACAGGTGTCAAACACAAATTATATAGTGGACCTGATCTGAACATGGTACTTGGAGGGGGCTATGTTCAATGAATTATTTGGATATACTGGGCACAAAGCGTGTGTATTTTATATCTTCTGGGAATGTAATCCTGTACCTGATATGTACATGTGATGTGGCCAGAGTCATGTTAGTTTTTGCTTTTTCTTTTCAACCTGGCAGTTCATTAAGTGATGCTGGGGTCAGTGTAAATCTAAACAAGGATCCTGGGTTTGTCACAGGATCATTCTGCAAAGTGCTGAAAAATTCATCATACAAGCTGTGAGTCGATCCTCCTGGTTACACAGAATGCATCAAAAGAATCACTTGTTCTCATCTGTAGAGCATAGAGAAATTAGAATGTTCCTCCCATCTCCACATCACTAATATAGCTCCTGAAAACCTGATGCCATCTTCTGCATCTGTCCTGCTATATTGGAACTTTTGATGAGGTACACTGCTCCCCATGCATAGTGAGAATCTTGTCTCTGTACCTTATTCATTTTCTCACCAGTGAAAACAACCTTTCGTTGTAAAGGTAGAGTATTTCTCCAGATGTCAGATATTTCTTTTTTATCATGTCCCCTCTTGGCTTCTCTCCCACTCATAATGCTGCATGCTGCTCACTCTCTTCTGCAGGAAATGTGATACCTCATGTTCAGGGAATTTCCAATTCTACACTTCCCGTCCAGAGCTCTAGTCTCCTAATCTCCTTGGCCCATGTCATTCTCTGTCTGAATTCCAATTTCCCTATTCCTACACAATCCCTGCAACCCCAGTCTTCTGAACTAGTCATTCTTTTCCTCAAAAGTAACTCTTATTTCTCTCTAAGCAAAATGGTGCTGGGTCTGCTGAATAGATCCAGCAGTTTCTGTTTTTATAGACAAATTATCTGTCTAATCATTATCACGTCACTGTTTCAGTCCACTGTGAGTACATGTCCAAAACTGCTTTGTTGGCTGTAAAGTATTTTGTGACATTTGATGGTTATCAATGGCAGTGGATAAACTGAAGTTTTTTTGTCTTTTCACTTTACCTTTTCACTTTGATTTCGATATTTGATCTACCCCCTACTATTAACTAACAATTTAGTCCCCATCAACTCTTAATTCTGATGACTGTCTGTTGTATGTACAATGCCTTTGGTCTTATCTCCTCTATGGCTTCTTGCATTTTTGCTCATGCGCAATGAATACATCTTACTGTTTTCCATATTTAGTGACAAATCCCCAGGACCTGATGATTTCTTTTTGAGGGTGTTAAAGGAAGTAGATGCCCTAACTATAATCTTTCAGAGTTCCCTAGTTTCAAGAGTCATCTCTCTGGATTGGAAAATTGCACATATCTCTAGCCTTTAAAAAGGGCAAAATAGGGAAAACCAGGGAATTACATATCAGTTAGCCTAAATCTCTGGTGGGAAAATTGTTGGAGTTATAATCAAGGATAGGCTAACCAGGATAAGGAGAACCAGAAAGGATTCATGACCAGTCATGCCTGAAATACCTCATTGATTTTTGTTTTGAACATGTGACTACAGTAGAGAACAGGGGAATGTCTCAATGTTATTTGTATGGATTTCCAGAAAACATTTTCAATGTTCCCCATTAAAGAATGTTAGTTAAGGTAGAAGCCCATGGAATTGAGGGTAGATAGCTGATGTGGTTGAAAAATTGCGTGGCAGGTGACAAAGTAGAGATAATGAGTAGGTTCTCAGATTGGCAGGATATGACTAGTGCTGGTTATAGAATGGGTAAAACTGAGGCAGGTGGATTTCAGTGTGATCAAGTGTGAGGTTAACTGTTTTGAACCATAAGGATAGGTCAGGGCACTTTCCAGATGGTATGGAAGTTAAAGATTGTGGGTCAGTTGCATAGATCTTTAAAATATCGTGAAGTACCCAAGCTAATAAAATGCTGGATTTATATACTAAGTACATGGATGTAGAAGTTGTACTACAGCTGTACAGAAATCTGGTTAGATCCCATTTAGAGTACTGGGAGCAGATCTGATAACCGCTTCTAAGGGAGGATATGTTGGCCTCGGTATTAAGCTGCTTTTGTCCAGAGTTTAGAAGGTTAAGGGTAATCTTATCTTAGTCTACAACTTATTGTGGGTAAAAGACGGTAGATAAACCATTTCCACTGGTTGGAGATTTGTATCCTGCTCGCAGTACAAGAGGTATTTTACAAAGTTAAGCTCATTGGTAGGTTGGAGGGTAATTGTCAAATCAGGATCCACCACTTGCTTCCTTCATTGCTCTATATCAGTGCACTTCTAAACTTTTATACAAACATCATTGCATAGTTTGCTATTTCAACAGTTCTCAAGGATCTAAAATTTATCAAAGTTAAGAATCACACAACACCAGGTCATAGTCCAACAACTTTATTTGAAATCACAAGCTTTCGGAGCACTGCCCCTTCGTCAAGTGAAATGAAGAAAAGTATACAGACACAGAATTTATAATGTGGAGGTGCCGGTTTTGGACTGGGTGCACAAGGTCAGAAATCAGACGACGCCAGGTTATAGTCCAACATGTTTATTTGAAATCACAAGCTTTCGGAGTGTAGCCCCTTTTTATCAGGTGAGGTGAGAGAGCAGCACACAGACACAGAATTTGTCAGCAGAGAGATAAAAAGGTCATACAAATGGTGAGAGTGGAGTGTCAAATAATAAGTCTCTGCAAAGTGATCAAAAGTGTCAGACAGTGTGAGTAAAGTGGCACCAGCTGAATAACAAGCAAAGGGATGACTTATAATGTGATCAAATGAGGCAGAGATTTTACAAAATTACAAAATATTAAAAGTGAGGTGGTGCTGGCGACAAACCAAAAGACTGGAATAACATGATAGGTATAAGAGTCACATGCCGAGGATCTAACCAAAGTAACAAGCAATCCGAAACTGTACAAACTAATTAAGGTAGAGAGATCATAACAATTTATCAAGGTGATAGTGTCAAAACAGTAAGGAAGATTTAACAGATACAGAACAGTGTCTGGTGGGATTACATGTAGCACGACATGAACTCAAGATCACGGTTGAGGCTGTCTTCATGGGTATGGGACTTGGCTATCAGTTTCCACTTGGCGATTCTGCATTATTGTGTATCTTGAAGCATCCTCCAAAGCGGCCTTACCGGAAGAACGGAGGCTGAATGTCCTTGACCGTTGAAGTGCTCCCTGACTAGGAGGGAACATTCCTGTCTAGCATTTGTTGCATAGTGTCCATTCATCCATTGTCGTAGCATCTGCGTGGCCTTGCTAATATACCATGCCTCAGGGTGTCCTTGCCTGTACTGAATGAGAGATGCAACGTTAGCCGAGTCACAAGTATCTGCTGTGTACGTGGTGAGTGGTGCTCCCATATGTGACAGTAGTATCCATGTTGATGATCTGACATGTCTTGCAGAGGTTGCCATGGCAAAGTTATGTGGTGTTGTGTTTGAATTTGACCTGAAGGCTGGGTAGTCTGCTGTGAACAATGGTCTGTTTAAGGTTTGGCAGTTGTTTGAAGGCAGGAAGTGGGGACTTAGGAATGATCTTGGCAAGATGCTCGTCGTCATTGATGACACGTTGAAGAACATGGCATCTCTCTGGCCCAGGGAAGTACTGGATTACAAAACGTAATCTATTGATTGTATTGTGTGTCTGTTGTTGAGGAAGTTGTTGTGGTTTCTTGCTGTGGCACGTCAGAACTGGCGATCGATGAGTTGGACATCGTATCCCATTCTAATGAGCACGTCATTCAAAATCTTTAGGCGTCCATCGCATTTCTCCTCGCTAAGTAAATTCTTTCTATGCGCAGATCTCCTCCATAGGGAATGGCTTCTTTAATATGTTTAGGGTGGAAGCTAGAGAAGTGCAGCATCATGAGGTTTTCCAGGGACTTGTGGTAGATTGATGTACTGAAGTGTCCGTCCTTGATGGAGATGCGTGTGTCCACTAATGAGACTGATTCTGAAGTGTAGTCCATGGTAAGTCTGATGGTGAGATGAAACTTGTTGATATCACGATGTAGACGTTTCAGTGATTCCTTGCCATGAGTGCAAAGGAAGAAAATGTCATTGATCTATCCACTGTATAGAGTTGGTTGGAGGTCCTGCATAGCAAAGAAGTCTTGCTTGAGCTTGTGCGTGAAAATGTTGGCATTTTGGGGTGCCCATGTGCTCCCCATGGCTGTGCCACATGTCTGAATAAAGAACTGGTTGTCGAAGGTGAAGACGTTATTGTCAAGGATGAAGCGTTATAGGATGGCATCTAGAAATTGGCAGTTGTTGGTATTGAGTACTGAGGCTGTTGCAGTGATGCCGCCATTGTGTGGGATGCGGGTGTAGAGTGTCAAAACCTCCATTGTGACGAGGAATGTTCCTGGTTCGACTGGTCCATGGGTACTGAGTTTCTGTAAGAAATCTGTAGTGTCATCACAGAAGTTGGAGGTTACTTGTACAGTGGGTTTCAAGATGCTGTCAACATAGCCAGAGAGGTTCTCACACAGGGTGCCATTGCCTGATACAATGGGATGTCCAGATGTGTTAGGTTTGTGTATCTTCGGAAGGCAGTAGAAGCCTTCTAAGCGAGACGTATGCTGGATGAGAGTGCATAGGGTACTCTGAAGGTCTGAATCAAAGGACTCGATCAGTCTGTTCAATTGACAGTTGTGTTCTTTGGTCGGATCAGTAGGTAGTTGTCTGCAGTGTTCCTGGTTGTTCAGTTGTCAGTATGCTTCTTTGCAGTAGTGTGTTCTAATCTGTATGATGGCTGCTCTTTTGCTGGTTTGATGACAATGTTGCGGTTAGTCTTGGGAGCATGGAAGGTATTGTGTTGTGCTTGGGTGACGTTCTGCACGATCTTGTGAGCGGGGCTGATGAATCTGGCATTAAAGCATCTCCTGATGGCTTGACCATACAGGTCGAGCCTAGGACAGTGGCCTTCTGGAGGGGTCCAGTTCGACTCTTTTTCTTCTTTGGTTGCTGCACCACGGATCGCTCTGTTGACTGTTCTAGTTTTGTTGGTTATCTCATTGGGCTTGCTGCTGACAACTTGAGGATTGTGGAAGGATTCATAGAGGCTCATTCACCTCATGAATTCTGCTTTGTCTGCTGTGAGACCAATGGGGCCCGTTTTGGTAGTGGAGCAGAAATTGAGCCCTCGGCTGAGAATTTCGGTTGGATTTCCCTGTGGTGATATCGGTTTCAACTGTGGTACCGGGGAGGCTTGGTTAATGCTGGTGGTGATGCCAAGTTTATCCAGTTTCTTCTTCTTGGTGTGCATGTAGATGGTGTAGTTCCATTGCCTCGTCTGCATGGCAGCACTCGTAACTGGTCTGCTGTATCCTGAACACAAGCTGAGAATATGGATTCTGTCTCAGTTTCAAGGTTGCAGCGTTTGTTGCAGAGTTGGTGTGCAAGAGGTGCGTCGGCAGAGTCTCAGCATAGTCTGCATTGTAGGCCAACTTGAGTGGGTTTGTGAACTGTAGTTGTTTCGGGATTTTCTCTGCTTTCTTGCATCTCTGCAGAAACTTGATGTCTGTGTCAATATGTGTGATCTACTTGGAGGTCCTATCGACTTTAAGCCGGCAGTTTGTGATGTCGATGGTAGCCATGGTGCGGAGGTACTAGTGTTGGACTCGGGTGGACAAGGTCAGAACTCGGATGGACAAGGTCAGAACTCGGATGACACCAGGTTGTAATCCACCAGGTTTATTTGAAATCACAAACTTTACGGAGCATAGCGCCTTCGTCAGGTGAAGTGAAAGAGAAGCACACAGACGCAGAATTTATAGGCAGAGCGGCCAAGGGCGGAGAGATCAAAAGATCATACAAATGGTGGGAGTAGAGTGTCGAATCGGTCTCTGCAAGGTGATCAAAAGTGTCAAAGTGTGAGTAACGTGGCAACAGCTGAATAGTGAGTGAAGGGGATGATCTATCTTTCAATTAATTGAGGCAGAGAGATAATTATAAAAGATTAAAAAACAAAGTGTTGCTGGAGACAAAGCAAATGGCTGGAATAACATGCTAAGGGTCTAACCAAAGTAACAAATAATCTAAAACTGTACAAACTAATTAAGGTAGAAAGAACACAACAAGTTATCAAGGTGATGGTGTTAAAACAGGATAGTGAGTAAGATTTTACAGGTACAGAACGGTGTGGTGGCATTACATGTCGTGCGACACGAATCCAAGATCAAGTTTGAGGCCATCTTCATGGGTATGGAACTTGGCTGTCAGTTGTGAAGTTTGTGTGTTCTTAGTTCTTGTATTCCTCCTAAATTCTTGAGCTTTTAAATTGCTTTTCTATCTCCTAATGCTGCTGCTTGATTTACTTATGTCTTTTTACACTGTTAACTTTGAGCTTTTCTCTTGTCTCTCTTTAAACAAGTAGCTGTGATAACACTTTAGACCCTCTTACGGTAATAGTAAATACAACTGTTTGATTCCATCATTCTACTAAAGCTAAATTACAGCAGTCACGTTATGACTGTAAACTTAGTATATTCTGTTTGTCTACATGGCTGAAGGAAAACTGAAAGAACAGTTTGTTTTCTTGTTGTAGTTGTCTCTTAATAAATGTTCAACATTTAACAAAGGTGTTAGCTATAGAAGTTGTATGGCCTTTTCATGTATGCATGAAGAAAGACGAAAGGGTAATTAGCTTGTTGCATCTTTTTTATATATGTGCCTAAGGCAGCAAAAGATGATGCAAAGCCGCAGTTATATCAGTAATCGTGCATCCATCAACCTTTTTATTTTGAAGAGAGTGATTCACCAGGTTTACAC